TATGTATCAAATTATTTAGTTGCTACCTTATAGTAGTAGTGCATATGACCTTTAAGAGAAACTTGAATAACTTCATCACCAGTTAGTGGATTTAAGAGAATAAATAATGATAAATTCTCTATTTGTTTTGTTATATTGTAACGCCAATATCATCCTATGGTTTGTCCACATGCCCGTCTAGACTAAACCGCAATTTTGGAAATTTCTTCCAAGCTATTTTGTATCTACACTTTAGTTGCTCCATTTTTGTTCACTTTAGTTGGACTTCAAGTTTTATTGAGGCACATCAGGAGTGCATGACGCTCAAAACCATGGCTAGTGTCTGATAATTTGGCTTCACGCATTCATATACTTGGTTGGAAATAAAGCAACTCACTGTGGTACACAAAGTTACTAAGTCTTTTTATTTTACCTGTAAAAGAAGCTATCACTACGGACTAAGTTAGGAAGTTCAGGCTGTTGACGGCTAGTAGCACATTTTTGTAACCCTAACCGTTGTCCAGCATTACGTGAAAAATATAAAACAATCAGAGTTAGTCTAAACATCAGTAACATTGAGTCAGCTCCGAATCCCTATTGGCGCACGACCCGATAGCTTCTTTCTTTATGCCCTACCTCTTGGTCCAGAAGTCCGTAACCAGCTTCTACAAAATCGTTAAATTTCATAGTAAAAAGGTATATGTATATTTAATAATTTGATTACTAAATACTTGTACAATAAGACTACGCAATAAGAATCCGTAAATCAGTCCCGGAAGTTGCCACACCTCTACTAGTGATGTTCGACAATTTGATGAAACTATGTATCATTAATGACACCCTTATGTTTTCGTGCTTCTGTACAACTTCAATCTCAGATTGCAAGTTTTCTGTCTTTAGTTTTATTACTACCTAACGAACCTTTCATGCATCGTAGAATCTGAAGCGGTTGGTTTCATCTGATGTCGCTCGACTGGGTCATCATAATGGCAGCTGTAGTCGGGAATATTAATAGTCTGTTTAAAGAGGATATTGCACTGACTTCACGGTGGTGGCTGTTGGTTGATTGTTTCGTTTATCCAAACACAAACATTAATACAAAGACGGACGTAAATACTTATGCTCCACACAAATTATTGAGTTTGTAGATGGACTGAGATGTTGCTCTGACGCTCAAATCAAATTGAGTTGTTTACTTAGGGAGCTACTCCTCAAGCTATTTACCTACAAGTCCAATCCATAAAGGAGTGAAACAACATCAGTATATGCTGTCTTACAGTAGTCGGTAGTAAATAATAGGTTCGTAAGCCCCATTCGTTCTGTCAAGATCTTGGAGCCCACGTCTAAGGCCAGGTCATTTACGATGTAGAACTTCGTACGTAAGTACATCAGTTCAAGTTGCCATGCCACATTACCACATAGACGCAAATGTCAAATCAAATCCCACGGTAGTAGAGGTAGTAGGAGTATTAGCAGTAAGCGGAGATTGGGGTTAGAAGATATTATTCATAAAGTATGATCTAGTAAAAGAAACCTAAAAAGATAAAGCTGGTGAAGAGCTCTGAAGGTTATGACTTGACAAAACACAAAGAGTGAATGCGCCTGAGCCATTGCAAACGGTTTTAAGCCATGTCGTTCAAGATATCTAACCATCGATTACTATCGCCTCGCGGATCCCAACCAGGTAGCCTACATCTACCAACATGATTCAGTCCACTTGTCAGTTACTTCATGGATTTGTGCCGTATTTTGGTTTGGCCGTCCGTAGCTTTCTGACAACCTACTCCTACACCACAAAACATAGCTCATCGAGGTAGCCGGTGGTTGGGCATACGTAACACATGTCCCAACCACCTCAACTGATGAAGTTTCACTACTTTATCTATTGATTTGCCATCCCTACCTAGAACTCGTTTCCTAACGACAGCATTGCTTATTCAGTTGTCCTAGGATATACGAGCAATGCTTCGGAGACACCTGTGATTGAAGACAAGCAACCTACGAATATCTTCTACTCTGACTGGCCATATTTCACAGCCATAAGGTAGGACGGAGAGAACTACTGAGCAGTACACTCGTCCTTTGGTTAGCAAACGGATATCTCGCCGACACCACAAGTGACGTAGGTTGGCAAAAGCTAATCGAGCTTTCTGTATCCGAGCTGAGATTTCGTCAGTCACCAGGCCATCAGCACTGATGAGACTCCCAAGATAAGTGAAGCAGTCAAGACGCCCGACTACTTCACTCCCTATCACAAGTTCAGGTGCTGACGCAAGCCAATTTTGAAGCAACAATTTGCTTTTCGAGGTTGAGAATCGCATCCCGAACATGCCCGCATTGTTGCTTGGGGTAGCGTGTCTCCTGGTAGAAGGTCCACTCCTGAAAAGTCAGAAAATGATAATGTTTAATCTTATATATATATATATATATATATATATATATATATATATATATATATATATATATATATATATATATATATATATATGACAAAGCTAAACACGAATGGGGAGAGTGGACAGCCCTGACGGACACCACTTGGAGTAGAGAATTCCGATGACAGTTCGCCATAAGCTCTCACTCGACCGGTGGTGTTCGAATAGAGAGCTCGTTTAAGACTAATGTACTTCTTTGATACACCTGTTAATGACAGACACTGCCACAGAACCTCACGATCTACAGGGTCAAATGCCGCTTCAAGGTGGAGAAATACTACTATTGTGGGACGTCTGATCTTGTGTTTTAGTTCTAAGACCTGACGTAGTGTGAAAATGTGGTCTATACGTCCACGTCTAGGTCGAAAACCGGCCTGGTTTTCTCCAGTCTGCTCTTCATGAGTTTCCGTTAGACGTCGGAGTATTATTGAGGCCAATATTTTCGATACGATATAAGTTAGACCTATTCCCCTGTGATTGTCACAAGAGGACTTTTTTCCTTTCTTGTAAATTGGGACAATCAGTGATTGAGACCAGTCGGATGGGATTACGACCAGTTCCCAGATTCTACCTAAGATCTCAGTCAGTATAACTGTTAAAATCTCAGGGGTCAATCTATTAGATTCTGCTGCCCTCCATCGCTTCAGATTTTCTATAGCTTTTTCAACTTCATAAAGATTCGGAGGACTTACGTCGATTTGCCATTCATGATGATTGGAGATCGTGGGCAACCGAAGTGTGACCGAAGGTCAGTTGAACTGATCTCTGAGGTGTTCTGCTAATCGATCCAATCTCCTGGGTTGAGAATGAATGATACAGCCATCCTTTTCTGATATATTTTCGCTAACAGATGGATTTCTAATAACGGTTTCCTTGACAAGTCGGAACAACTGTCTGCTGTTACTTATCGCCACTGCCTTTTCCATCTCTTTCGCTTTCGCAACCTACCACTGTTCGCGATCATTGCGTAGGCTTTTTATCAGCATGCGCCTAAGATAACTCCGCTCCTCATCGCACTCAGAGTCAAGCGGGATGATCTTTCGAGCATCCATCAGTTCGGTAGATGCTACTGAAATCCACGGCTTCTCCCTAACCTTATGGTTTACCTTACTAGCAGATATAACTGCTGTTTCTACAGCTTTTCGGATATCATCCCAAGCTGCCTCCGGATGTGAATCATTTACATGGTCGTCTAACTGTTTTTCTAGATGTTCCTCAAATATATTCTTAGCTTTATTATCGTTAGGTAGAACCCTAAGAAGTTTCCTTGCGATATTTTTCCTACGTCCAGTAAGTTGCAAACAAATACGTGCTCGCACTAGAGCATGGTCTGAGTCTAAACAAGTGCTCTAGAATGAGCGGCAGTCTTCAATCGAGCATCTCCGCAGATGGATTATAGCGATGTGATCTAGTTGAGTCCATCGTTGAGACGGCTTTGGGGGTTGCCAGGTCAAAAGGTGTTTTCCTTATGGTGTAAGTTAGTATTTGCGATTATCTGTTCTTTGGGCCGTGACACCATAAGATCCACCCAGGTCTTTCCTTTTCACTTAGGCTACCAGCCATTATTATTAATGCTATACCTGGGCGGGCGAGGCCACGGTAGGCAGCATCAGGGCTAACTGAAACACGAAGTGTAAACCTTGTTGTGTCCCTGTCTGCACTAAGCGAAATCAAATTGATGACTTCACTCGGATCTTGTATGCGCGTTTTGGAGACACAACATGCATCGATCGCCCTGGATTACAGAGTTCTAGTTAATGAAGCCTGTTGCAACATTTGGCATACGGTTCGAACGTTGAAAGCTCCAATACGTAATTTAGTACGGGGTTTCAAGAGACCAGGAAGAACGTTTGATGAGCTCACTATTTGCTTCGGTGGCGTGAGGTGATAAACGATCGAAGGAAGGGTTGATCGAGGAGATAAGAGAGTTATTAGGAGGTGTAGAAAGGATTTGATTGTGACCAATTCGGTCTCTTGTGCTTTAGTGGGTATGAGGGCGGATGTTACTTCCCGGCTGCCCACACCGTGGGTGTTTCTTGAAGACCCTGAAAAGTCAGTCAGTCAGTTGCAACGTAGAACTTCGTACGTAAGTACATCAGTTCATGTCGCCATCCCCTGAAAAGTAAGGTAGATTAGCGTTGGTCTTAGAGATCTGGTAAGCAGAACTTCCCTGGTAGTAGCTGTATACGCTTAGCCATATGAGAGCATGTGGAAAGGGAGATTGGACTGTTCTCACTCTCGGCCGTATCAGGGCATTCAGGAGCAAAAGTCGGTGACACCGGGTATTCTCAGCTGGTCACTTGCCCTAGTACTGACCGGACCTAAGGTTATTTAACTTAGGTGATTTAGCGAGAACCGGTGTGTTCAACGTGGTATCGTCACAGTTAGTAAATGAGCAAAGGTCACTGAAAACAGAACTTTTTAGTTTAGGGTTGTTTTAATATACTCTATCAGTCGCTCCTATACCATAGATCTTCTCATTTTGAGACTTATCAGGAAATGTATCGGTTTTTGATTTCGTTATCCGACAAAGTAGTCGTCGTGTGCATTAATTTTGTATATATTTTTATATCTTAGATCGATCAAATGACAGGAGTTTCGTGGTAAGTTTTTTATCATTACTTACAATTTATTTTAAGTGTATTGTTACTCAATTCATCTGAAGGAAACAGTGATCCGCAGATTCTTGAAAATCTTATGAAAAAATTAGAACTTCTTGGTTTGTTGATTAATGATGCTTGACTATAGACCGAACTAGGTGCACAAAAATGTGGCCGAATACATGTAGAAAGTGCAGTTTACTTTTCAAACTTCGCTAGATGTAAGTAGTTTCCTATTTTAACAACCAAATTATTCATGTGTCACCTAGCTCAGTGCAAAACATTTCAAGTTCTCACATCAACTGAATATCCAGCATCATGTTTTATTTTCACTGACAATCAAACAGCTCTTGTTGCTGATATATCTTTCCGCGAATTCCCAGGGTGCTTAAAAGCGTTTTATCAACGTAAAAAAAAACTACAAGTTGAAGCTAAAGGGATAAAGTATCAGTTGGGTGATTTTACAATTAATTTTATTACAATATTCATGGGACAAAGTGCTTCCGTTAAGGGATATTTAATCGAGGTAAACATCCTATAAAAATATATTTGTACTCGTTTGTCATTGAATAAATCCCACGAGGAATATGACAATCAAAACGACATCATTGGTTCGATAATATATGGTAGTGTTGTTGTAGCTGACTAAATCTAATTGATCCGAAAATCCTGACGAAAACATGTTTAGAAAACCAAACAACTATTTGACTGACTGAATATTTATGTCCGTAAATTGAAGCTATTGTTTATATATGAAATATCTGATTACAATTTTATAGCTCCACGTTACTCATCTATCATCAAAGTATATAAAAGTAAAATGTTATGATCAACCAGTCAGTCATATTACATATGCCTATTCATTGCTCTCACTAGTTATTGAAATTTCCGAAATAAATGAATGGTACAAAAAATTGGTATAGAAAATCATTGACCACCATTGTTTATGTCATTATTGAATGCTTAGCCTGACGAATTCCTGTGTATTGCAGGTTGTATTATGGAAAAACGTTGGTAATCACTCAAGGATCGTAGAACTGCCAGTTTCCTTAAGGGACTTCAGTTGTTTCTTGATTGAAAGCTATACAAATTAATTAAGCCTACAGTACAAGTCGACAAGTTACTGATTAAGAAAATTTTTCAACTTATAGTGAAGTCTATATTCAAGTAGCTATCATTTCTTTTTTACTCTTAATTGATTTCTATTTACTATACATAAGTGCAGCTACGTTACTTAGTAGATCTATGTGCAGTGTTATTGTCATTCTCTTAATGTCCTATGTTAGTACTGTTTCGATTCTCGCAGACCAATAATGTTATACTTTTGCCTTATTATATAATAAGAACTTAATAGTTATTATCTCCACTTTTCCGGGTACTTGTAACCTTGACGATTTTTCAAAGTCTTTGCGTAGATGTCATATCAAGAATTAATAAATGTGTTGTGATTATTTCCTATCTGTCCATACTCATATTTAATTCATGTTGTGTTTCGACCAAATGCATTTTGTTAACACTACATTATGAACCCTCTTACATCATTTGCATACAAATATTTCCGTTTTTCATATCCTAAACTATCAAATACTTGATCTGAATTCCAACTAAACATTCTGGAGCATGAACGCAATATAAAACTGATCTTCTACCTATTTCTAATTGTCAGTTCTATTACTCTTTCTGTTTACTTCCCTATATTCGGCTTGTCTTAACTTTCATTACTCTTGTTGACTCCTGCTGTTTCGCCTTCTTAAATCCTGTCGCTGTCTACAGCGACTCATTTTTATACTGTTTTTAGTGTTTGTGTCTTCCAATGAAATAGGTGTTTTGCTGAACATTTATGTAGGATTGACTGCAGGCTGTCATCAAACTAATCTTCATTATTTTCGGTACTATCATTAATGAGTGCGTTCCACTGGATAGCATTTATCGCAATCTTTCCATTCTTTGTTTTGAACGATGCTTTGATGATTCTAGATACTTCTTCACAGAACTGAACGTTGAAAGACTTTACAACGTGTACTTGGATAATAATGGTTTTTTTTACCTAGTTATTAGATGTCAGTATTATTGTAAACCTTTTTTGCAAACGTCTCACCAGACCTCTTCAAATGTATTCCTATTATGATTATTATTATTGTTATCAAAAATCAGTGTATTTGCATTAAAAGCTGTGGTCTTCTTGGTGTTGTGAGGAAACCAATATCCAGGCTTATCAAGGCATCCTTTCAGGCAATAAAAACAAAGATAACACCTAAAATCATCCAGTAATACGCATTCATCAAGGGTAGCAACCAGGATGATAAAGAACAGTTTAGTGAGTAGTCGCAATTTTTATTCTATGATTTCTTGCTGTGAGACGTTTCGGTCGCTAAGGTGTACCACTGAGTTCCAAACTGCGACAAAACAGTTACTCAGTGCTTCTTGAATTTTAGCGACTCTTCAACTGAAGTCAGTGTGGTGCAAACTGTCTTAGAACTGAATTGATCTTCAAAACCAATAAACTAAAACATGGAAAAAACATTTTTTTTTCTAGATTTCAGTTATTTTACTGTCCATAATCTGATTTTATTACACTTTGTTTTTTTTAGGTTTGTTTTCATGCCTCATGCATGATACATTTATGTCGTGATATATTAAAAGCTTTCATTACCCAAGTATTACCGGATATTTGTCCTCCAGCTAATAGTTCAACAGAACACATATTCAGCCCATCGTTTTTACAAGCTGTTGAAACGGGCACATTTGATGCACCACGTTGGCCTCCCAGTCAGTTAACTTTCCCATTGGAAAATAACTTCTTGCAAGATGATTCTCCATTATCTCATGTTTGTGTTAGACTAACAATGACACAATATGCAGAACATATCAATGTTGTTAGACGTTTATCAAGGCAATTTGTAAATACACCGAGTACACTTGCTGCAAATGATTCATCCTATGCAACTCCTTCAAATAATTCGTCAAGTCAAGCTAACAAAAACGTTCCATCTAATTATTCTACATAATAATTTCAATATTATTTATATGTTTATTACTAATAAAATACTAAGATATTTTGTACAAATCTTTTTTTTATTTTATAAATTGCAAATTCTTTTTATAGTCTAATTGTCATCATGTAATTAATTTCATGCTATTTAGTCAAAAAATCATAAATATTCATCTCTCTGTAAGTTTTCAAACTTGCATGGGTTTCGGTTTTTGGTGAGGTTTGTGTTTTTTGTGTGGTATTTTATTTCAGCCACATTTTAATTCTGTGTAATTTTCATAATGTGGCTACTTTGTTCTTTAAATTTTTTATATTGCACATAACTCAGTATATTCTACCTGGTGATCATGAATTCATGTATTTTTTTTTCACCGATTATATTCTTACATTTGGTGATGTATGTTTATAGAAATGACTGTAAAATAAGCATCTTCTAGTTTGATGTCCATACTTGCAAACTATGCCTAGATGCAGACATTCAGTGAAATCAATTCATTTTGCTGCACTAGTTTCGTGTGTCTTGTTTTTAACAGTTAAATTAATTCGAAATATCTATTTTCCGGCATTAAACTTTAGGATGATCATCAAAGTGAATTACATTTTCATATTAAATAATTTTAGTGAATATCCTTTGCTGGTGTTATCTAATGTAAGAGTAAATAGAAATAATGATTAGGACGATCAGACTATAATGTAACATTAGATAATGAGCTGATTGAATTTACTTTTAAACCATGTTAGTCGATGCAAACTGTTTGATCAAAAGATCCACGCGATAAACATGCTTAGTGGATGGAAATATTGGATGTCATAAGTCAGATACAGTTTCTCTTTATCTTTCTCTAAATCTTTCATCCTTTGTACCCAGACTTCTACATTCATTTTAAAGGAATGTTTGTCAAGTTGGATACAATAGCAGTGTTAAATATATTGGGAGTCACTGCTATTATCACATTACCATTTACTCATAGACATGGTAGTTAACTCCAATTTTCTCCCATTTAAACTCATAGCACTTTGAAAACTCTGTCCAGTACTGAATCGGCGTATTGAAAAATAGACACGTGAAAATAATTTATTTGGAATCATGCAGAAGTTTAGCTATTTTAGTTTTCAAGTATACGGTAGAGTTTGCTGTCAAGATATATACAGTAACTAAATAATTTCTCAAATAGATTTTGAAGAAAACAAGATTTCAGTGTTTCATAGTCTGTGCATGAGAAATACATGACTATTTTTCATGCTACTATCTTTTTATGCGAGCAATATTACCATGGTTCAATGAATTTAGGATTGCTATTTTATGTACGTAATGCTTTTTTTAAAAATGAATTTCCCCACTTTATAACATTACAGTAATCAGATTGTGAAGTGTACATTTCATGTTATAATGTTATTTATTTTTGGACTAAAAATGTACTCAACCATTTTGAAAGCAACTCCACATTTCGGCATCTTATTGGGTTTGAAAAAAAAGAATTGTCACACAGTGTCTGATGTATCATAAATGCAAATTTTTATTTATGGATTTGTAGAATTCAAAAATGTTAGTTAACTTGATGAGACCAGTTCATAATACTATAATAACGTTTCAGTATTTATTGGATAAAATAAGGTCGGTCAATAATGTGGATGATTGGGTTTGGACACTTACCGTGACAAGCATTCCATACTTGTTTGAGTATCAAATATTGTTAATGATGGGCACATTGGTATTCTTTAATGTTAAGTTCGACTGATTTGTACATTTCCTACTAATTTTTTGTTAATTATAACAAAATTCATAATTCGTTGTTCACTTTGATGCTAAATCTTATTCCTAAATCACTTGATTATTATATTAATAATTCGATTGATTGATTCTAAACGTGTAACTAGAATCGAATATCCTCAGTGTTAATCTATCAGGGATTTTCTTTAAAATTGTTTTACGTTCACATCATAGACAAAAGTGCAATATAAAATCGTAATTTGGTACTAAAGATACTTGTACATCATATATTTTATGGCACTACAAGATCCTCAATTTGAACACGATTTCTGTTTTTAACTTAATCTCTATCAACTGATAGTTTTTATATTTATTGATCTTCACCCAATTACGCAGACCGGAAGTGAACGATTTAGTTTTCAGATCAATACGAAAGTTGTAATCTATGCTTCAACTTCGGTGTAACGTTTGTAATGTATACCATAGATTTTGAGAAATGCAAGTATTGAATGAAATTTACTAAATATTCATAACTGCAAAATCTGAAGTCAGTTACTACCTCATCATCTCTGATATTAAACTCTCAATTAAAGGTTGTGGTGGTAGACATTTTCAGACTGTAAATACTTCTCTATGATAAATTATGAATGGTCAAGGTCAGCAGTAGAAAACGATATCTGGTCGGCTGAACCTTAGTGCTTATGCTGCGTCATGATTATAAAGTGTACGGTCCGTACATGTTGATTGAGTGGTATAAAATGAAGTACGGTGTGCCCTACCGAGTAAAGTTTAAAACTGAGAGTATATGTTTTTCAAATACTTCTTAGTTTCCAATAGCTCTACAATTGTTTTGAGTTCGTTGATGAGAAGTGATTATCATGTAATAACAATTTCCTGAGTAGTTGACATTCATCAGTAACATGGGAAGTATTTTCTTCGAAACATTTAATCATTAGATGTCGTTTACTTGCTAATTACATTTGTCGGTCTTCCGAATATTTGTTCATACTGATGATTACTATATCAAAGCATATTGTATACCATTAAGTTAGTGTTATTAGCTGCTTATTCCCTGTTCGTTTGAGTATAATTATTATTTACTCCCAACTCGTTGTTGATTGCTTACCATTATTATTTATTTTGTTGTCTGTTTTCCTGTTTTTATTTGCTCATGTTTATCGATGGTGTCGGTGTTGGATATGGTTGTTCTTGTCCACGTTTCCATCTTTTTTTCATAACATTAATAATAAACATTATTTTTCTATTTTATTTACAAAAAAATACTTTGTATAAGCTCTTCAGTCTGACTTCAGAAATGAATTGATAAAATCAGGTAATTTATTTCTCTTATACTATGAGTATTCCTGAAGTATTCTTTCAACTAATCACATGGTTTTATTTATGGCTTCTCTCATATAGACTGCTTGAGTAGTATTGTATGTAATTTTAGAATCCCCATATTATATTCAAAACCAAGACTTATTTGAGTGAACAATTGTTTCCAATCACTTCGTCATCAGGCTTTACAGCTATTTATCGTGTTATTTTACAAAGTTCAAAATGAGGCGCGAATTAGTCAATTAGACAATGTTTCATGTTAAAATGGTGAAATTATGCAACTATTACCCTATAGATACGTCAAGATTGTTTTATTTTTAAATTAGAAGTCATCTAGTGAAGGTCAGAAGATTTCAAAGTAAGGTGCCCACAGCAACAAGTGTATGTATCTGATATTCTAGTTAATTAATAACTATACAATTAGATTTTATACATATATCAGCAGTCTATAAATTCGTTGCATAAGTTTCTCTTTCGTTCATGTGAATATAAGACTGTGTTAGAATTTGTTCTATTTTTCTATGTTCTGATAGAAATTTCCTGACAAAATTATCTGGATAGCTATTGTTTTGTAATATTTTCCTTAGTTTATCTATTTCACTATCTACAGCGTACTCAGAACACGATACTTTAATTTTTGTGACTGAAACATCAAACCTTATTTATCTATTGGTTTCTGATGGGCTTCAACATGTGTGTATCCCCCATTTCAACTACTCTTGTGGAACTAGTTACATAGGCCGTACTTGAAGGCTTCCGCTTGCGTTCTCGTGAGCATGTGACATTATGGCTGGTAAAAAAAGCCACAAAATTAACTAATAGTGATACCCTTTCTCACTTGGTATGTAATGAACATCAGATTAAAGTAAATGAAGCCTTCTCTGTTTTATATCAAGTTCCAAGCAATCTGCTTAATGGAACTCCAACTCCTACGCAGCTGGGACTAGTTGAATCGACTCCACAAAAAATCTAATTTATGCATCAAAAACTCGTATATTCAGCCTCCATGTTTACCTTGGTACACGACAGGATCACGAGAAAACTGGATATCATAAACCTCATCCCCCTTCCCTCTTCATTTAGTGCTTAATCTACACGTTCATCTTTACAAATTCACACAAATCGTTTATCTTAATTACCTTAACTACATTACTCATATTACATATTAGATTCACAGAACGATATTATTATTATTCTCGGGACGAAATTTTCTTACAATGCATTTATATTATATCGATTTTTTATCCTGGCAGTCGTCCTTGAATATTTAACAGGGTTTCTGAAACTAGTTGTTGTAATAACAGTTTTGGGATAACACACCAGTCTATTTATCTTACATATCAGTAATAATTAGCAATAGATGACAGTAAAACATATTCGAGACGTACGATCATTATAGCTGATTCCATGAACAATGGTTCCCATAATGATGTGTTTAATTTTTACTGATCTCTAAACATCAGTATCCTGTTGTACAATTTAGATACATAGAGTCAAATTTTAGTAGGACATTATCTATGTAATAGATCGGATGCAAATAAACAGTCAATTGAGAGCCTATTTTCTGGTCTACATGCGTCAAATAGTTACACATTACCACCTATGACTATTTGTAACCTCAGTATCATTGATAATTTAAAGGGTTATGCGAGATCTTCTTGTACACGCTTCTTAGACGTTTCTTTTGTTTCGTTTGTGTATCAGGTATCTGAAATATGGGAAAACGCTATAATAGACTTTTTTTTCCGAATCCATTGTTAAATAGTCAACAGTGTGCAACCTTTTATATAGGATATCAGGGCTAAAAATTATTGAGCAAAAAATTTTCTCAAAATGCATCTATCAAAGAGTAGGTCTTTGATTTCAAGTGAAAAAATGAAATGATTAGTGTAAAGTAAACAAAATACTTTCGTTATACAATTAATAGGCGGTGATTCTAAGTGAACTGATTGAAGTAGTTTTAAATTATTTAGTGTGCATTTTCGAAGCTTCACTATGTATTGGGTGGAAGCGTGATTTTCAGATGAACATATGAAAACTACTTAAATTAAATGCTACTTCAATATAGTTCACTTGAAAATGTTTTACAAAGTACCTGTATTGCATGTCTTGTGCAACAACTCAGAAGAGCTGTTTATCCGTAGTTCGAATATACTTCAAATAGTTATAATTTACTTTATGAAGCTTGTGGTAGTTTTTCAAAATGTTCGAACGATGGACTGTTGAATGAAATCCGGTTATGTATGAAAAATTGACTATCATACTAGGATTTTACCATAATGAATAAAAATTGGATTCGAGGTTATAGACATAGACATGAAAAAATTTCATTAGAAATCCTTTATATGGTGAAATACTTGAAATTTATTGGAATAGAGCTTAGAATTTTTTGGACTAGTTGTTAATTTTTGTTTTATTCCTTGACATGCATAGAAACTATCTTCACATTGTGTCGAGTAAATAGGCACAAATATCTTGGTCAACGTTTAGGAAATAAGGTACAGCACACATTTACTTTATCCTTATCGGTTAATAAACTGACAACCAGAACCCTTTCACTGTGTGGGCAGCCGGGAAATAACATCCGCTCTCATACCCATAAAAGCACACGAGACCGAATTGGTAACAATCAAATCCGTTCTACACCTAGTAACTCTCTTATATCCTCGACCAACTCTCCCTTCGATCGTTTGTCACCTCAAGCCACTGAAGCAAACAGTTTGAGCTCATGAAACGCTATTTCTGGTCTCTTGTAACCCCGTACTGAATTTTAACGTTCGAAACCTATGCCAAATAGGGCAACAGGCTTCACATTAGGTAAAACTCTGAAATCCCAAGCGATCGATGTATGTTGTGCCTCCGAATCGCGCATACAAGATCCGAGTAAAATCATCAATTTGATCTAACCTAGTGTAGATAGGGACACAACACGGTTTGCGCTTCACGTTTCTGGGGGCCCCGTTGCCGCTTCTCGTGGCCTCGCCCGCGTAGGTGTAGTATTAAGTCCTAGGGCAGAGCAAGCTCTCTTAGACTGGATTCCGATAGACAGTCGCTTATACGCTGTCCGACTAAACGGGACAATACGCCTCGGAAAGACAGGGACACGCACCGTTTCCTCTTTGTCGTATCTGCCCACGCCCCACTGACTGCAGTTCAGACGAGGTGACTGATTAGTTCTACAGAAAGCTTTCGGACCTCCAAAATGTTAGGTGCTCTGATGTAGTAGTAGTGGCTGGTGACTTTAACGCTCAAGTAGGTAGACTAAGTGAAAATGAAAGACACCTGGGTAGATGTTATGGTGTTGTGGCTCAAAGAACAGATAATGGCGACCATATGCTCGATAAGCGCCTACTTCTAGCAAGCACTAACTTTAGGCATAAGGAAAAGCATCTCCTGACAAGGCGACCCCCAAAGTCGTCACAACGCCGGACCCAACTAGATCACATTGCCATCAGCCACCGACGGTGGGGTTCGGTAGAGGACTGTCGCTCGTTGTGTGGCACATGTTTAGATTCAGACCATGCTCTAGTGCGAGAACGTATTTGTTTGCAACTTACTGGATGTAGGAAAGATACCGCAAGGAAACCTCTACCTAATGATAACAAAGCTAAGAATGTATTTCAGGAGCAGCTAGAAAAACAGTTAGGCAGCCATGTAGGGAGAAGTCGTGGATTTCAGTAGCATCTACCGAACTTAGAGATGCTCGAAAGCTCATCCCACCTGGCTCTGAGTATGATGAGGAGCGGATTGAGCTTAGGCGCAGGCTGATAAGTAGCTTACGCAATGATCGCGTACACAGGTGCCTAGCAAAACGAGAAAGATCAAATAAGTAACGGCGATAGGCAACAGTAGACTACTATTCAGATTCACCAAGGAAACCGATTCACCTAAACTAGTGATAGGGAGTGAAGTAGTCGAACGTGTAAACCAATTCTTTTACCTCGGGAGTCTCATCAGTGTCGATGGTCGTGTGACTGACGAAATCTTAGCTCGGATACAGAAGGCTCGATTGGCTTTTGCTAATCAACGTCACTTATGGCGTAGGCAACATATCCGTTCTCTGACGAAAGGACAACTGTACTGTGCAGTAGTTCGCTCCGTCCTACTTTATGGCTATGAAACTTGGCCAGCGAGAGTAGAAGATATTCGTAGGTTACTGGTTTTCGATCATAGGTGTATCCGAAGCATTGCTCGTGTATCATCGGAAAACCGAGTAAGCAATGTTGTTATTAGGAAGCGGGCGCTAGGTAAGGATGGCAGATCAATAGATGAAGCAGTGAAACTTCATCAGTCGAGATGGTTGGGACATGTGTTACGAATGCCCACCCACCGACTGCCTCGTCGAGCTATGTTTTGTGATATAGGAATAGGTTGGATGAAATCTAGGGATGGCCAGACCAAAATATGGCAGAAATTCATGAAGTCAGTGACAAGTGGACTAAGTCATGTCGGTAGGTGTCGACTACCTTTTTGGGGCCCGCCAGATGATTGTGATCGATGGTTAGAGCCTCTGAATGACGTGTTTCAAAACCGTTTGCAATGGCGCAGGTGCATTCATTCTTTATGTTCTCTCAAATCCTAAACTTTTTAATTCATCATCACTTTATCTTTTTCTTTTTAAGATTATTTCACCAGATTCTACTTCTTGAATCATATCTTCGAATCCCAATCTCTCCGATTACTGCTAATACCTTTATTAACTCCACCACTATGGGATTTGAATTGAAAATTACATCTCTGTGCTAATATGGTATGGCAACATGAGCTGATGTACGTATGAAGTTCTTCGTTGCTCTTGATTGATTGGTTTATCGATTGATTGTGTAGCCTGAGCACTCGGAACTTGTGAGATAAGGACCTCTTTTCATGATGAACAATTAACTAGTAATCATTTAAATGTCTTTATCTTAACTTTGTGTTTGAATAAATTTCAAACATATAGTACGTTTAACAATTTGAAAATATCAAATTGATTTAACTAAACAACGAATATACTAGTTGTATTACTACTGTTCGATAACATGCATATATAAAGCATCAGTTAAGCGTCATTAGATTAAGCGTGAATCCATTCAAACGAGATTAAATTTTAATCATTTTATTCAGGTAATACAAATCATAGATATACATTTTAATAGAAGCATATTGGGTTAATAGTAATGCAGACATGTGTAAGGTTGCTTTTTCCTAATTCTGGAATTTCAGGAAAAATCTCTACATGATGATAAAGTCAAAGACATCGATGTGTATAATGCAGATCTGTATATATTTAGATTTTAAATCTATTTTCTATTAAACGTATGAAATATGTAAATATAATTGACGGATGATTATCAAGTTATATGAGATCAAGAAGGAAGATTGCCTTTTAATGTACAATTAAGAGAACCTCAGTCATCTAATCTATAAATACCTATGAACAGGTAGAAGTGCGTTAAGTTGATTTGATAATGGAGAAACATGGGACTTATTTCTGAAGCCTTTGAGGATGGTAACTGGAATCTTACTTAGTTTTCCTAAATGCACATTCGGTACACAAACGGTCTTCACAAAGTCTGTCCAGGAATACAAATGAGTTTTTCCAGCGTTTATTGATATTGAGAAAACTGTTCTTAATCTTCAAATGTAACTTATGGACGTGCAAGCTGACAACGGCTTTGGTGAATGGTAAAAGCTTTAACAAAATACGTTTCACATTCAAGGGACTTGGTATACAAAGGCTAGATTTTTCCACAACAATTTGTGTTTGTAAACATTCTTTTTCATAAATGAGTTTTATTAACTACTAAGCTAGATTTCAGTTAATGGGCAGAAATTTAAAGTTATTAAAATAGGTAGCAATTAACTTCATAAACCTCTTTCACTTAATTCAGGCATCATTAGTTGAGTCAGAGCTGATGAGAGGCTGTCACCAGGATTGTCAAACTCAAGTAGTGTTCATCAGAGTTCATTACTATCTGTCATTTTAATTTCGTCGTTTATGTCCCCCTATTATTAACATCACCTAACTTTTCAGGAATTGATCAATTAAGAGATGAATTTATCGACTTTGAATACGCTAATGACATAGCTTGGTTTGATGAAGACGCTGACACAATCCAGAGCTTTTTAGTCATGTTTACACTCTAAATGTAAGGTTTTGTTCCAGTACTGGTTTGCATCAACTCATGAACTAGTTAAAAAGTGGGAAGTTTAGTTCGTTGACCATTACACATATCTTGAAAGCCTCATTGGTCTTGGGGGGGTTGGTACCTGATAAAATCTCGGTGCAGATTCTGATTGCCCTGCCGAATTTTGTCAACTCCCGTTGCTTTTATCATGTGCGCGATATTCGTCTACCAACCAAAAGATGAATGAAAATGCTCAGTATTTCACTCTGTACTAAATTATGGGTGCAATCGCGTTTAGTAAGAAAGTGAACTTTAAAAGAAGAGGGTATTTTTAGGTCGTATCCCATCATAGGTGATATTATATACGCTGAGTCTAGGTAATGAGCACTGTTGAGGTTATTCATAGCATTCTGATGTAGACGACACATAAGTTGATGGATTTATGGAGCTTTATCGATTAAAATAGGTTACGTGTTGCATATTACTAATTACTACCTTTCTCTATGGAAGATATTTGCATGTTTATGAGGAAGAAAGTTTGTGCAGACTAAATCAAAACATGACATTAGTCCACGACGTTCGTGACTGTTGGTCTGAGCCATATTTATGTTGAGGTCTGCATGATAATCGCAATCACCGTTCCATGACTTCGAGTGTACACAATAGCACCGATGCATCTAATTTTAAGCTTTCTTTCTACCTTGAATTTTATCATCCTTCCAAATATAACTTTTCACTCTCTTTTTCAACCGTGATCTCAATGTTTAGATTTTCTCATTATCATTACTATTATATAATTTTGGTCTCATGTGGAGTTAATCTAGTTATTTCCATTTCATTGTGTTAATGTGGTTTGATAACTAAAGCCAAAACACATTTGTGCCAGGCCTTATGTTAATGATAACTAACTGTACAGCAGTAGGTGAAATGAATCTTGATAACAACTTATCGAAATGTATCTATTCAAAGTTACGGTAATCTAACTGATAAAATGAAATATCTTCAAACTTTCGACTTACTACATAACGAAACGAATAATTCAATATAACTTATACATTCTTACTTCCGTTAATTATTGTAACAGAAATATCTAGCTTGATTTCATTTCATGATAACTCACAGATTTTTTCCAAAATAGTTAAACTGAGTACGTACTTTTCCTGGAATCTAGAAATCCAGATAATGGTAGGAGCAAAACGTAATGCTAAACTCAACATTTAAATAAAGTAAGACATTGAATATATCTGTTACCGGTTTTGTGCATGACAGATAAAATCTTTAGTGAAGTCTCCTATTGGTCAAAACAACATTGAGAAATGAATTCATTTCAAAAAGTAAAACAAACTTCTCAATATATTGAAAAGAACTTTGATAATAAGTAGAAAAAAGGTTATGCTGAAGAATGAAATCACCATATATATCACATTTAAGTAAAATTTAATCTGATACGTATTATAAATTAAATGTAAACTGGAATTATAAATCAAAGTTCTCCTCGATATTCTGTTGTATCCTTGATAATTTAACCAATCATATTCGCAGATGATTCAGCGGATATTTCTGACAGAGTTGATTTTAACAATCTTAATCAAATATAATCATCGAATCTTTATCATACAGTGATGGTTCTTGTGTGTCGTATGGCAATTAAAAGATGTCATAACAAATACTTTATGAGTAAGTGCTTGTCGGTTGATAGATAAGTAAATTTGAATACTTCAATTTTACATGAAAGTTTTGTTGATGATGTTATTCAGACGAACAATGAAAGCTTCACAATCAAAAAATTCAGCTCAGCGAATGAAACTTCATCACAATCATCCATATGAATTACAAATCTTCACCATCTCAAAAATCAATCAAACAGTGTATAGTTGAGTTCCATAATTTGTGTCCAGGAGAGAAAAAGAAATGATTTATTCACATTGGATTAATCATTATTTTATTTCCACAAACTTTATTATCAATAATTATTTACTAACGTTTTCTTCTTTTCATCATTATTTTAGATCTGAATCGATTGAAGTCTATTCATGCAAAACTATCTAAACAATGTGATATATGGTCTGATAAACTTGTTCACAGATTGGAAACTCGTAATCATTTGCTTATTCAACTAAATAATACCTATGAAAGAATTAATTTTATACTAAAAGCAGATTGCGAGAAGAATGGTAGATGAATAATTAATTTCAAAGATATTTTCTTGTTTTATTGTTTGTTTATATACGAATTGTATAGTTAGTTGTTTCAGTGTCATTTGTTTTGTATAACTAGAATAGAAATTAAACCCTTTTTGTTGCAAACAAAATCAGCTGAAACTTACAAAGTAATATACAATAAACTGATTCTTGATAGTGAAGTTAAAAAATATTTGAAATCATTGAATGATAACTGAAGTATTATAGACTGTTAAATGCACTTTTATTTAATTCATGAAATTGGAATTTATCTATTTGTTATTGCTAAGGCCAACAGATTTAATTGGTTAAGAGTCTCGTAGATTTTTGCTTGAATGCTCATATATTGCAAATTTACTAAATTTCCGGGATTATCATTAGTTTATTTAAAATATTCTCAATATAGAATGAACTAGATCATGTTAAATTATTATCATAAATCCAGTAGTTAAATTATCCAATTTATTTTGCCTACTTATAAGTAAGCAAATGTTTTTTTAAACATTTTTAGCTTTTCACGCTTTCTGTCTAAATTTCTACTCTACAACTACATAGACTGGTAATATCAGTAAGTAAATGAACAAATAAAAAAAGTTCTTCGGAATTACATTCTGCATATCCTGAATTTAAAGACAAATATCTAGTAATTATTAACGAAAATTGATTTCGAAATGCCTAGTCGAACTGACTTGGGCTTATCGATGTAAAGATGATGACCACCTAAACTTTCGTGTAAAAAAAATAAACAAAATGTCAGTTATTTTATTTCAATACACTGCAAGTGGACGTTTAATATCTCCTCTTCAATCTAGTGTTACATTTTTAACTATCCGTATAACCGGTTGATGCTGTCATATTTTATCATTTTTTAATTACACTACGGTTTACCTGAAAACCTAAAGTTGAAAGTTCATGCAATTATTTGCACCGTAGCAATGAAGATGCTGTGTGAAATATATCCTAGGCTAAAAATGCTACAAGCTGGTTTATTTAAAACTATTTCTTATGAAATGACTAGTTTATAATGTAATAATGGTTAATCTAAATGTCTGACAAGTGTTTTAAATGTTTGCATCAGTGCTCTTCGCGATTTTAATCCACAGTTTCCACAATCTTATCTTGTACAGAACTGGTTAAAGCATGATAAAATCTTTTTAATGGGAGATCTTTTAATTTGTATTATAATAAGGTGGATAACACAAATATTTTGCAGTCATTATTAAAAAGATGAAAGGATTTGATTTTGACCGATTTGGTCTCGTGTGCTGTTACGGGTATGAGGGCGGATGTCACCTCCCGGCTGCCCACACTGTGGAAGGGTGTTTCTTGAGGAATCTGAAAAAGAAGGTAGATTAGTGTCGGTCTTAGAGACCTGAGAGCGTGACCGCAGGGTCCAAGGGACAACTACTTGTGGACGGTCACGCACGGCCTTTTTATGAAAGGTTTTTTGAGTATTAGCTCCGCTCTTATTTTAAAGGCCTTAACGCTAGAGACGGAACTTCATGGGGTAAGATGAGATGCAGTCTTGTTAAGGTCGACCTATTCTAACCCTTCCTTCCGTGTGAAAATTCAGCATCGCTGAAGATGCCGGTTGTCTGAGGGAAACACCTTACTGCTGTCACACCCCTCTGAAGTCAGCAGTACGACTTCGCCCTCAAACTTGCATTTGCTGCTTTTATTCTCATCGTTCTCCAATCGACCTGTCTGGCATGATAGAACCTTCAGGAACATATGTTGCAGCCAATATAGCCCGTTCGAGTCATCACGATAGGCAAACCGGACCACCACGTCAAGGTAGCAGCTATGGTCGGTTTATTAATAAGAATCATCGATCAGTTTTTTAAAATAGTATTAATTAGCTGTGCATTCAGCAAATTGATCACTTTTGTATAAGCTTCAATGTTTACTTAATTAATGGAAAATTTATCATCCAAAATAATTCACAGGTAGTTTATTAAAGAAATATAATGAAACTTATTCCTTAATAAAGGTGCTTTGTTAGGAGTTTCAACTTCCTAATATTCAATTAATTTTGAAAATACGAGACGAAATGTATGAAAAGACTGCTTTTATATCCATTATTTAGTTAAAAAGCTAATGATAAAGAAAAAGGTCTGCCACCTTAGCACAGATGTTTAGTTTCTGTCGTATTCACCTTTTTTCTTACTTCCTATGGGAGGACTTATAAGAAACTCAAGATTTTCAACGGTTGAAACCATTAATATTGTTGTGATTATCGATTAGCTTTTGCCAACTTGCGTCATCTGTGGCGTAGGCGAGATATCCGTTTGCTAACCAAAGGACGAGTGTACTGTGCAGTAGTTCGCTCTGTTCTGTTATATGGATGCGAAACATGGTCGGTAAGAGTAGATGGCATTCGTAGATTACTAGTATTCGATCATACGTGTCTCCAAGGCATTGCTCGAGTATCGTGTGACACCCGAGTAAGCAATGCAGTTGTTGGGAAACGGGTCATTGGTAAGGATGGAAGGTCAATAGATGAAGTAATCGAACTTGATCAGTTGAGGTCATGGGGGCATGTATTACGTATGCCTAACTACCGACTGCCTCGTCGAGCTATGTTTTATTCGATGTAGGAATAGGTTGGAAGAAAGTTAGGGGCGGCCAGACCAAAACATGGCACAAATCTATGAAATCACTGACAAGTGAACTAAGTCATCTTAGCAGATGTAGGTTACCTGGTTGGCGTCCGCGAGACGAAAGTCATCGATGGTTAGAGACCTTGAACGACATGGCTCAAAATCGTTTGCAATGGCGTAGGTGCATCCACTCTTTGTGTTCTCTAAAATCCTAATCTTCGGAATTCGTCAACACCTCTACCTTTGTCTTTCTAAACTTATCTCTCTGAATTATACTTCTTGTATATTATCTTCAAATCCTAATCTTCTCCATTAGCCGTAATTGTCTACTATCTCTACTACTATGAGATTTGAATCGACAACTGCGTCTCTGTGCTAATGTGGTATAGCAACCTGAAATGATATATTTGGGTACGAAGTTATACGTTGTAACTGACTGACTGATTATTAGTCTGGTTTTTCAGGAAGGGGGATATCTAAACCATTCCTATTCAATATATCCCTAACTTAACATAACATAATAATAATGTTATTGTTGAAATTTAGTACTACTGTTCGAAGAACACATTTTTTCTAAATAAACATTAAAATTTTTGTTTAGTAATTGTCATTTCTTTAAAACAAAGAACAACGTTTTTCAATGACACTAATTTTCTAACGGTTTCTGTCCAGAAAACATAGTATAACAATTCACTTAACTTAATCTGGTTAATGAGCGTAAATGATTCAGGCGTTTTTTTTCCAGCGTCTCATAGTAGCAAGTCGTTTATTTTTCTATAGATTTTCTATTTTTATTTCTCATCATTTTATCTACAATTGTACAGTGACCAATCAACTAATTAAAATGAGTAGTAGCAAATCGATTTTAGGAACTTCATGATTGGCTGTACTCATTCGACCAATTACAAGACAGTTTCATTGGAGATTAATTTTACTTATAGCCTAGCTCAAATGAAAACATATACAGACTTCGTTTTAAATGTTTTACATTTCCTCTTTGGAAATTAACTAAACCAGTGGATTTAGTGTGATTTAGATATTTCTGTAAGAGCTAATCTTGGAAATATATGAATGGAGATGTTTCCTGAAGTGAAACAAGACAGTAGTAACTCAAGGTTGAAATCTCATCCGAATAAACGGAATAGTAAACAGAGAAAAGTCCATGCTAAATATCCAACTCATTTATCACAAACACCTAGCAATAATGATACACATGGCCGTAGAGGACCTGCATTATATCGATCAACGGCGAATGAAATGCCATTAGAAGAATCAAACTTGTCAGCAAATCCACTCCGTAAACGCTTATTTAGATATAAACCGTCATTAACTCCTGGACTTGGTACAAGAAGAGTTGTTTCCTTAAATCCAAGTAAGGTTTTATATAAAGTTTTCCTTTTAAGTGTTGTGGCAATAGGATTTCTTCCTACTGTATGACGTTCATTTACTATATCATAAATATACCCTTGGTAATCCTTTCACGTGTTGCTGTCATAGTAAAGTAGGGTTAAAATATTCTTTTAAATTTACCAATTTTTAGTTCATATAATTGTTTGAAATGTATCAAAAGTTTGGCATAGGATTTGTTGAAGTGACTAACTATATAGAGAGTTGTAATATAAACAGCTCAATTGTATCTTATCAAATACTGGTATATTTTACTTCAGAGTAGTTTGTCTACTTATATTTCATTTTGAAATGTTATTCTAATCAGGTGTTCAATATGCCTATTGATTACCCGTATACACATTTGTTTTTGTTCGAATTTTTTTGTTGGACAAATAAATCCTAAGTATTAAATAAAGTGGTAGTTGGATACTGTTAAGTTTCTTCTATGAATATTAATATTGACTTATAATAAAAATACGGATAGTTACCGTATGGGTAAATCTTCAAAAATCATTTACAGCTTTAGCTTACTCTGTTTAATCTGTTTTGAAAGTAGGTTTAATGAATTGTTATTTTAAAATGCCACTCATGGCAACCTTTTTTTAAACTAGTGTAATGACAATTTGCCATATTTCTAGAATTTAAAGTGTTACTGTAAGCAATCAAATATCTATTTTATTGTAATTATACTTTAGCACCAAGCAGAGGCAATGATGTTTAATTTTCAGATTGTTTTTAACGTTGAACTGCGTAGGCATATGACGTGTAATTTTGCTTTTATAGAAAATTATGAACATGTATTCTTTGATATGTCTGAGATTAAGTTGAGTATAAGTATAAGTAGGTAGGATCTCTGTGAAGTAGAGGGGGGTTAGTCTGGAGAGAAGTAAATTAAGTGTGGTGTAGTCGAATAAAAGCAATGCGTTACTTTATTAAGGAGTTAGACTGTGTAAGGAATTTTATGTTTGTAAATAATGATTTGCATTATAGTAGTAAAATCAAGATTACGTTTAGAATGACGCAGTTTTACTTGGAAGCTTGGAGTATCGATCAGTTAACGTTTGTATTATCACACAAACTGGACAGCTTATTGTTCCAGTTTGATGCATTTCTGATTGTACATACACCCTTTTTGTTACTTTTGGTTTCGTGGTCATTCTGTTCCTGCTGAGTTGTTGATTAATAATGAAACCATTTGTTTACCTAATGTGTTGGTGCACTTTCTGGGTCATTTATTAAAACTACCGATATTTTGGGCCTGTCATAAAACCCAGTTGAAGTAGATTTGATTTATACCTAAAATCCACCGAATCAATAATCACTTCATATCCTACTGCTGTATTTATTTTTCATTGTAAACGAGTCTTTAGAATTTGCGAAATTTGCTAGTTTACATGATATGATTTATCATTATTCAAGTCTTGATGATTTTTGTATGTTACACTCATTTGTCCGTTTTCGTTTCATTTTGTTTTTCTTGGTGTTGTCTTGATTCAGCTTGCTGATTTGAGTAAAATGTTTTAAATGTTGTTCTGAACAAGGTGAACTTCTACTTAAAACCAAACAGTCAAACACCAACACTCACGAGTGTAATACACCCCATTATATGCTTTACTTTGAATGTCTGTTCGTTGTTGATTTCTTCACTGTGATGTTTCACAGTAGAGCGACCTGAAACATCATCCATCATCTTGTGCATTATTGCATATTATTCTGCTTCTATATCGAAAGACCTGAATTAGAATTATTAATTAAACTATATCTTCGTACTCTTTTAAGTCAACAGTGCAAATAATTACTGTTCATTGTGTTATTCATTCAATCCGTAGTTTATTTCATCATGAACTAATTTTGATCATACAAAAGTAAAATCAAAAAAATCTTAACTCAACTGATTTTAATTATTGATAAAAAAATTTAAACAGTGAATAATTTACATAACACAGGACACAAAAGATATTTCTTTTGAAAATTAGTTTTATGTTATGTTTTATGCATTATATTCACATATGAATTAAATAAACTTTTCGGGAAAAAATTATAATCGATAATTCAACTTTTCTTTGTATTATATAATAAATGTACAAATAATTATGAAACAGTAACTGTAAAATTTCAGAAACTTTAACATCATGACTGTTTACTTTCTAGTTGCGTATTAATTTCACGTTTGTTTAGGACACGATACAAATCTGAAATTTAGTATGGAGCCTCGTTTAGGCGATGAAGCATTCACGGAATGGATCAATGCTGTACGTCGTATGGCTCGTATAGGAGATGGTTTGCCATCAGCTATTCGTTCACGTGTTTGGTCTGCTCTTGCTAATAGACAATTAGCTAAACAACATGTTGATTGGGATCATGAAATTAAAATGGCATTCAATGAATTATCTAATCAAGATGATGACAGATTAGGTGAACAAATTGTAAAAGATCTACATCGTACTGGATGTGAACAGTTTGGATCAGATTCTGATCGAGCATCATTGAAACGTGTTCTTCTTGCTTATGCTCGATGGAATAAACGAGTTGGTTATTGTCAAGGTTTTAATGTCATAGCTGCTGGTGTATTAGATGTTACTGATCGTAATGAAAAAGAAGCATTCAAAGTAAGTATGAAACGCATACGGTTTAGTATACTGTTCTGATGATAACTTGAATAAAAATATCTCATGTATTCACTTGCTTTACTGTGTATTGTTGGATGATGGTCTTAATCAACTGTCTGGAAAAATTAACATTCATAATCTTATAGCCATACAATTTTGGTTAAAATAGACTTCATTTAGAAACTTTTAACATATATGACTGATTTTAGAGTTATTTTCTTTCGGCACGAGGTTATCCAAACAAATCTAGATATAAAAAATGTACTATACTACTATGAAATTATCATAACAAGAGAATAATTAAAAGTGCTACACGTTTATTGTGTTTTGAACTTAAAAATTTCAAGAGTGACATTATCAAATTATTAATAACTTTAACTTAATATTTATAAATATTAATCGATTGAATTTCTAAATTGAACATGTTCATTCTTGTCCATTTGATTTTTTTTAACATCACATTATCAAAACGCTTCTTTTATTATTCTCGATGTCTGTTTCATGGAATCGATCTGGGTCTTTTTTTCCAACCTGAATAGCTAACATACAGTTCTATTTATTTGAAATTTAGTTATCCTTTACTGTTTATTGATAGGAGTTTTTTTTCGAAAATTCTACCTGTTTTGTTAGTGAGCTCTCTGCCAACAACTCGTAAATCATTGTAGTAAGAAGTTAGTCGTGTTGAAATTCAGTTGATACAGCAATCATCGGAATCCAGAAGTTTGTTTCATATTATTTTTTGTAGTTTGTTAAAATGGAGTCAACCACTTGTGAAGTTCGATTTGAAAAGTGAAGATCCTTTCGTCATACATAGTGTTAGCTTCAATTTATAGATACTAATCTTTGACTTTTATCTCATTTTAACTTAGGATAAAAGTTTCAATGAAAGTCGTTAGTAGGTTCCATTTTATACTTTGTCCATTTCAAAAGCTAATTTAATTTGAAATGCTTAATTGAATTTCGCAACAGAAATTCAGGAAAGAAATTTCTTTTTTCGACGTCATGATTTCCTTTTTATGAGACTGTACACTTGTATATGTATGGCGATCGCAAGCAGCTGAATAACCTTTCTTCATGATGACCAGATATTTGTTGATATCACTCGATTCTTGTTTTATCTCTCTTTGAAACTGTTCTCAATTATACGCTCACTAAATGACACATAGGGGAATCCAATACCTCTAGATCTTACAGTGAGCACGATACTTAGGAATAACTATTTGTTCACTGCACTTTTGTCTTGAACGGTTATCCACCTGATATCAGTTTATGATAAAAATTATTTTCCAATTGTATTAACTCGATAGACAAGCACCATGATAAATAAAGTGTTATTCTTGTCACTTGATATGCTTGAAACCATTACGAATTCACCGTGATCGATGAATGAGAACAAGACAGTGACCCAGTTACACAGTAGGCTACTCTGATCCGTTGCCCCAACTAACTGAAGAAAAAGTCTTAATATGGCATAGAAAGTGTATTCTACTATCACCCAGGAAATATAATGATCGCGTTTATTTATACATCATAGAAACGTCCTTGGGAGAGCCACGAAGATAGCGTACTAAAATAACACATCAACCAATCACAGCCAAGGAGTTTCCTGGTGGGAAATTTAATCTCAAGGTCGACGGATCAGCCGATGAATAAAATCCAAAATTAAGACCTTTATCAAGTGAGTCCTGAGGACCTTACTTCTCCAACTTAAAGTCTTATTTTTGTGAGACAAATTCTACGTACATTAATAACAGAGTATTCAAACGTAAAATGAAGCTATCTTTAATGAAAGTTAGTCACTAATCTATCGAATCCTGATACTCTTCTAAAGTGTCCGATTATCCAGTACTAGTGAGCATATTATTCATAGAGAAAAAAAATACTATAAATGAAGTATCTATTTTTTCAATAAATTCAAAGAAATCAAAATGGGATAAACACATAATCTTATTATTAAAGCAAAATAGGAAAGAAATTGTAAGCCTCGCCTTGTTGAATCATCTTTTCTTCATGGTTAAAGAGCCAATTTTTATTGAATTTGTCTTCTTACTGAATTTAGATACTAGTAGTATATGTTGTTTGGCAGCTAATTATTATCATTAATGTTATTAATTTTGAGAATCGCAAGTTGAATGCATTCAGTCGACTGTGTTACTTTTCATGGCCGAATCTATTCTAAATGAATGAACACAATCATAGTAAACCATTTCCCTTGGTTTTGTTTAATTTATTGTAGAATACTTATTATATATTTGTATTAATTCAACAATAATGATTTAGATATTTTTTCAACTTCTATATCATGAAATGGAAATTATCTGATTAAGCATACTGACGTAATCATAGTGTATGATTTGAAATCGTAGATGATTAGAAGTAAATTTGGTCAGAAAAGCTCAGTCAAAATTTTTGTTATCAAACTGTTGTGATTTTAACTTTCCGATTTTATTTGTTCATTTTGAACGATAATTTCTTTGTAAAGCTTATTATTACTTTTCATCTTGCTCTGTTTTTTTTCTTACTATACTGGCATAAATTGTGAAACTCTGATCGAATTAAACATTTACCCGCCAAATGTTATCTTGTTCATCACTAACTTATTTTGTGTTTAAGCTTCTATGCTTACTCTCATTGTTTTCCAACTTTTTCAGTCATATAACATTAGTTTTAATATTATTATTAATTTATTATAGATCATGGTTTACCTGATTGATTATGTTCTGCCGGAATCATATTTTGCACAAAATTTACAAGCTCTATCAGTAGATATTGCTGTGTTCCGACAACTTTTACAAAATAGACTACCTGAATTAGCGAATCATTTAGATCATTTACAATTTAAAGCTGGTTAGTTTGCGCTAATTATTTTTTAGATTTTTTGTTTTTATGTAATGATAAAAATTTGATGTATCACTTATTTGACGGTATATTTTATGCCGGATACATGAATAATTATTATATTACCTGCATGGGGCTTCTAGAGATTGTTAAATGTTGTCAGAATCAAGAACCACTTTTCGGTGAATAAGCATTCAAGATCAGAAATTACTAAGCAGCACTGAAATCCTCAGTAGTGCACTTCTACGACCCTACGCTCGGTGACCAGATGCAAAACCTTTAGTCTCTCAGTCAAAAACCTAACCTCAGTTCAAGTTAACACAGAGAGATCGAACTATCGATTCAAATCCCATAGTAGTAGAGGTTGTAGCAGCAATATTATTAGTAATGGAAAAGATTAGTGGTCGAAGATAGGATTCCTGAAAACATAAATTAGTGAAATAAATTTAAAAAAAGAAAAAAAACGTCATGATCCATTCAGAAGATTAGGATTTGAGAGGAGAAAAATATGGGTGAATCAGCGCCATTGCGATGATTTTTTCACTCAAAGTCTAACCACTCACCACACACCAAGCTATCAGCACTGATCAGACTCTCCAGATAAGTGAAGCGATCAACACTATCAATTGCTTCACCCCCTATCACTAGTTCAGGTACCGATGCAACCCAATTCTGAAGCAACATTTCGCATTTCCGGAGGGAGAATCGCATCCCGAACGTGCTTGTATTGTTGCTTAGAGTAGTCAAAAGACTGCATTTTGTCATGACGTTGGCATATTCTGAGATAACAAGCGAGTCTCCTGGTAGATTGTCCACCCCTGGAAAGTCAGACGAAGATAATTTTATCTCTAAAAGCATGTTTATGACAAAGTTAAACATGAATGGAGAAAGTGGAAAACCTTGACGGACACCACTTGAATTAATCAGTTTCCATGAAAGTTTGACATAAGCTCTAACTCAAGCTGCACTGTTGCGGTAGAGAGCTTTTGTAAGGCTAATGTACTTCTCTGGTATATCTTTGAGTGACAGACACTGTCACAGACCCTCACGATCAGCCTCCGCCTTAGGACCAAGAAATACAACTCTTATCGAACGTCTGGACGAGTGTCTAGGCTATAGTACCTGATGTAGTGGGAATATGTGTCTATACAGCCACGTTCAGGTCGAAAACCAGCCTGGTTTTCTCTGGTCCGTTCTTCACGAGCTCTAGTTATGCGTCGAAGTTTTATTGAGGCTAAAAATTTAGATACTATATTAGTTAGACTGATTCCTCTGTGATTGTCACAAGACGACTTTTATCTTTCCTTATAAATTGGGATAATAAGTGATTGAAACCAGTAAGATGGGATTATGTCCAGTTCCCAAATTCTACCAAGGATATCAGTCAGTCTTACTGTCAAAACTGTACCACCATCCTAGGAAATCTCAAGAGTTAATCTATCAGAACCTATTGCTGTCGTTCGCCTTAGATTACCTATAGCATTTTCAACCTCATAAAGAGAAGGGGGACTTATATGAATTTGTCATTCAGGTTGACTGGAGATCGTTACTGAAGGCCAGTCAAAATGATCCCTGAAGGGTTCTGTTTGCTGATCCAATCTCCTGGATTGAGAATGGATAATATATCCGAGAGTCACTTTAATAGCCAGGTTCCTATTACCAGTTTCCTTGATTAGTCTGAACAGTTATCTACTGTTACATGTCGCCACTGCCTTTTCAATCTCTCTTGCTTTCACTACCCACCACTGTTTGCAGTCATTGTGTAGGCTTCCTATCAGCCTCAGCTTAGATCAACCTCTCTCTTCATCCTGTTTACAGCCAGAGGGAATGAGTTTTCGAGCATCTATCATTTCACTAGATGTCACTGAAATCCACTACCTCTACCTAACCTTTTGGTTTCACTCATTGGCAGATATCACAGCTGTTTCCACAGCTTTCTCTATATGATTCCAAGCTGTGCACCATAACGCGCAGCGGTCTTCTAAGTGGTCTCTCCATCGGTGGCTGATAGCAATATGGTCCAGTTGGGTTAGTCGTTGGGTCGATTCTGGAGGTCGCCATGTGCTTAATTTTAGTATTTGCTTTAAATAGGCGGTTATCTGAGCATAACTTTTGCAAACGGTATCCATTATCTGTTCTTTAAGCCACTACACCATAAGTCACCGATCGCTGTTAGCATATCAGAGCGCTTAGCCTTTTGAAGAAGGCTAAAATAGTATCTGTGAAATCCCACTGATTGCGGCTCAGTGGGAGCGTATGCAAGTACAAAGAATAAGCATCGGCGTGTTCCTATCTTTCCGAGTCCTTACAGTTCCGTTTAGTCGGACAGCTTATAAGTGATTATCCACTAGGATACAGTCTAGAAGTGCTAGTTCTGCCCTAAGAATCAAGGCTATACTAACGCCGCTGAGCAAGTAGTATTGGGCCCTCCAGATACATGAAGAGTAAATCTCAACGGTTCTTTATCTTGAAAGCATGAAGTCAAATGAATGATTCTACTCACATTCTGTATGCGCGTTTCGGAGACGCAGTATATATTGATGGCGCGAGATTCTAAAGTCCCAGCAAAGGGAGCTGGCCGTCCTATTTGGCACAAGGTTCAAATACTAAAGGCTCCAACATTTAGTTTAGAGCGAGGTTTCAGGAAACCAGAAATAACGTTGCTCATCAGCGGTACCAGCTGATAAAGGAATAAACGAATTGTTGATCGAGGAGATATGAGAGTTGTTAAGAGGTGTCGGAAGGATTTGTTTGTGACCTATCTGGTCTCGTGTGCTGTTAGAGTTATGAGGGCTGATGCTACTTCCTGGCTGACCACATTGTGGAAGGGTATTTCTTGAGAAATTTGAGGAAGATGTAAGATAAGTGTTGGTCTTAGCAACCTGGAAGCATGACCGCAGAGCCCGACGGACAACTGCTTTGGCCGGTCACACACGGCCTTTTTATGGGATGGTTTGGAATTGTTAGCTCAGCTCTTAAAAAGGCCTTACCGCCGGATAGGGAAATCCGTGGGGTAAGGTTAGGTCGAGCTGGGATAATAATGGCTAAATGTATCTAATCAACTAACACTGTTTGTAATCGAGGCCACTAAAAGCCTGTAGAATTGCATCACCACGTAACTGAACCAACTCGTTTTTATCTCGCAACTTTGCTAAAACCAATGACAGACTGAAATTATTTTCTTATCTGTCCTACTATATCATTTATTTTAATTTTATCGCGGTAACATTGTGAAGCAGAGATTATGATATTATTATTTAGTATGTTGGGTATACCTAGTAAATAAGTTCTTATCCTAGCATTTATGATTCAAAGCTACGCTATATGTTGATACTGTTTTACGTCTATAAAGTTCTTTGAAATGAACAGAAGCCTAGTATACTTACATTATGAAAACCAGTTGCATATTATAACATAGGTAGTTTAAATTCGCAAATTCAAGCAAGGCTTTGACGTTGATATGTAGATTTGGTCATTTTATGGTATTTTTAGTAAAAAAATAAACAAAAGCTTCAGTTTAAAGTTCACTTAGGTCTAGTTTATTATTCGTTTTCATTAGATAAGTGTTTAAGCAGTCAAATGTAAGATTTTATTTCGTCAATACTTACTTACTGTCATCAGTAGTAAGTAGTATGTGACCATATCACTAGTTTTTCTCTAATTGTTATGAGTTGTCTCATTTATCAAAAAAATTTATATTAAGATTGCTATTCATTCATCAGTTATTAGAAAGAATCCTTTTAAATCTTACAATGTTTCGATTAAATGCCATTAAGTAATCCAAAAAATTCATTTACCTAGTGCTATATATAATAGTTTTCTGACGCAGAGGTCTAATACCCAAGACAGTGGAGCAACGTAAGTTGATGTAGTCCTATGGTAGTCAGTGACCAGCGATCTGTACATACGATGTTCGTTCCCTCCTGATCTTGTAGCTTGTTTGCGTATGTTTCGAACCAGACCTTTCCAACCCCTCTAGGTGGATCATTTGTATCCCCAGACTGGTTAAAACATGGGATATTCGCTTTTAATCTTCTCAATTTCATAAACAACACCTTTTCACGAGAAGGCAGTGATTAGACTTTCTCTGGTAGTGGATATACATGCGTAACTATATGAAGGCATTTAAAGAGGGAGAGAAGACTCTCCTCACTCTCCGCCAAATTAAGGCATCTATTGGGCACTATTTATACTTTGTTCGTAGAGTTTCAAGAAATATTAGTCTCTAGTTTCCGGTGTACTGATTTATCCTTCAGCCACGAAGAAGTAGATTGAACTTAATTTACCTATATTACATGATGTAAATTTTTGCGAATGTTTGAACTGGTCTGGGTGAATTGACATAGTTCTATGTACAAATAAACTAATTTCAGTTTACAGGGGTATACTGTTCATTTTAGTTGAAATCCAATGATGTGAAATCCAATTTCGCTTTATAATTTTTAAATCTTTTCCTGAATTAACTATGTCCAAAGTTTATTTCAAATAATTTATTTTCTCTTCTAATGATATTTATATGGTTATATATGTATAATTAAATGTATGTTTTAACCTATTTCATGATAGCTTCAGAAATGGATTGTCAATTGGCTAGAAGACAATCATCCACATATAAACAAGATATTTTATCAGGAAAGTATCAAGGCGCTTACGAACCTCCATTAATGAATGTCTATATTATTCAATGGTTTCTTACTTTATTTGCTACTTGTTTGGCATCTGATGCAGTTCTACGTGTATGGGATAGCATATTGTTAGAAGGTTCAGAAGTGATTTTACGAACAGCTATAGTTATAATGGATTTCTTGAAAAGGTATTAGCATATATGTATTTTACTGTTAAGTCAATTATATGTTCATTACTACTATTATGTATGATATAGTCATACTGCTGCTTCACTGTTGTATAAAATAAGACTAGACTCACTCAGTGAATTCAACTTAAGCTGTAGTGAATGCTAATCGACAGTATTTGAAGATAATCGTGCTGCATCATAAATTGACTGAGTTCTTGTGATTGATGGGCAGTTCGATACAGAATATTCTAAAACAACTAAAAGGTACATTAAATTTCCATGGCTCATGTTGGCTATTGTTTAGACCAACATAAAATTAAAAGAATTATATGTTCAGTATCTTCAATATTCCAATTTTATTCACAATAAGCATTACATTTTTAATGTAAAACTTTGTAAATATTCTAATTTCAAAGGACATGATAAGCATTATGGAAATAAACTTTATTTGAGTAAACCTTAATTGTTCTACCATTGAGTGCCATTATACTGAACTAGGTTGCGCAACTGGAATTCCTCTTCAAAAATTATCTTACCTAACCTGATTTCGTAATTATCATCAGTATACGGGTATTTAGGTGATTACTGTAGGGTTTAGATGTCTGACTTCAATCAATTTGAGGTAGTATACGGCTATCTGCTTCCTTCTGTGTAGTCTAAAAGTTATGTCTCCTATGCAAGATCCTAAGGTCTTGGATTTCGACCCCTAGTGAGGTTAGGGATGTGTTCCTTTGAGGAACTCCGCCTGTAGACCCCTAAGAGCTACTGTCGGTTCCAAGTCCAGATGAAGAAGGAGGGTTGGGCATAGGGTTGAAGGCCCCATCACGCACAAAAAACTAACTCGTTAAAAAGACGCTAACAAGAAAAAATAATTCAAACCGTTCAAACTCTGTTTTGGGAGTTAGAAGGTCTTCATTATGAAAGCCGAGTTACTACGGAAGTAATGAGGTTGATGCCCTTTCTGACAACCATAACCCTTCCACGGTGTGGGCATCCGGGAGTTAACATCCGCATTCATATCGATAAAAGCCCACGAGACCAAATGTGTCACAATCCAATCCTTCCATTGAAAAATCCCATCCTAAGACATCGTAGTTATCCAGTGTTTCCTGGTCTTCACTGGTTATCTAATTTTAATCGACTTGTAATTGTTATGACGTCCATAAATTCTATTGTCTTTTTGTTTTCCATTATATTCTTAATTTAATTTTGATCTGACGTCTAAAAATGTATACGTATATGTGTGATGGTATGATTATGAAAATAAAATCTCTGAAAAAATAAGATTTCTTCGTTGAATCTCATTCTTGTTATCATGACCCGATCGCTTTTTCTCGATTTATTGCAAATAATTTAACTTTCAGTTGAATTTTTAATACAACATAGAATATAAAATGTCCTTTTTTTAATATATATAATGTTTCTTATCATTAACAGTCGTTTGTTAAAATTAAAATCAGCTGATCAATTCTATGCAAAAATGAGTGATTTAATGTCAGAATTTTCTGAAGGTCGAATAGTAAGCAGTCAAGAATTATTATTTGAAATCTATGAACTCGCGCCATTTCCTTATCCTGGATTAAAAGAATTACGTGAAAAATTTATGTACAATATTGCGCCGTTAGTTGTCAGTAAACAATTGTCTCTGAATTCATTGATTAATCATAATAAAGATGCACAAAGTGTTTCAAATAATAATCAAATGAAAATGAGCAAATTTAATTTATTGAAATATTTTCCTACAAATTTCAAAACACACAAATCTTCACAGTCTGATAAGGATAATGAAAATTTAACAAAATTTAAAAATAGAAAGTAAGTGTTTTATATTGTTGTTATGATTATTATGATTATGATTATCATTTTTTAAAACAATTTATTTCGACATTTGATCATGTTTTGTAATGATTAGTGCTTTTGTCTTTTATAATAAATGATTGTATACTTATAGAATCTATTTTTTTTTAGATTAATCCTTAGTGTGGTTATAGGTGTATGATTATAGAATTAGATAAGATCAGTCAAGAAGTAACAGTTATCTGGATAAAATCAGCTGTCTTTTCAGCGATGATGATTAAATTTTCTTTCAAAGTAATCGGTAACATAACAGTGATTTTATTACGCTTATTACCGGCGTAGTTTACTCTTGATATAAAATCATTGGTTAGACTTTAAAGACGTTTTTCAACTCGAAGTGGTCAGGACAGTTAATTACTGAAAAAATATATACATATTTGGTTATATAATACGACAAATATATATATATATATATATATATATATATATATATATATATATATATATATATATATATATACAGTATGGAAATGTCGTTTCTGTGGATTTCTGTAAGCCTTAGTTATAAGTCCTTATAGTTGATTTTAAAAACTAATTGACTGGTGTTTTTAACACAACAAGCTTTTAGAGTATCTACCGATGTGAATCGTAATATACGTATTGTTTTTATCAGGAGTATGTAACCAATTTAACTATATTTATATTTTATCAGGATCTTTTGAAAAAAAACATTCATACTACTTATTCCGTAAAACTCAATTAATCTGTTTTGCATGTGTCAAAATAACATGTAATCTTATATACTTCACTTAGATAACAAATTCTTTATAAAAACAATTCCAGTTTATGAGTAAATTGTGAAATATATTTTTGTCAACTAAAACTTCACTGAAAAAAATTCATTATTAAAGAACATGTCAATTATAAAATAGCTTTCTGAAAGTTCACTAAAATTAGAGTATCAGGTTGAAATGCAATTTGTTTTTGGAACAATTGTTAATGTCATGTTATTATAGTACATTTAACTTCACTAATAATATATGAATAAATATATATATGCATACAATGTAAAGAAATTAATATAATTTACTTAATACAAATCACCACATTATTTCACTTGTCAATCTACATTTTATGAAACTTACACGATATATTAAATTGCTTTATTGAATAATTTCCGTCATTTAATGGTGATACTTTTTAAAAACAAACACTGGCCACTTTTTAAACAACCGCTCATTGTTTCTTAGTTTTCAATAGTTTTGAATTGATATCGCTTTTTAATGAACTGAAACATTTGCTTAAATACCAACGATTATTCTATAACTAATACTTTCTTTTCATAAATTTATAAAACTGATGACAATGTACAAGTATACTTATTTTTTATTTACTTACGCCAGTCTCCTCCAACAGGGCATTCATTGACTGTCGACCAACGTTCTTTAGCCCACTATATACAGGGCCTTTCTTTCCAGTTTTAACCAGTTGCTGTTCATCCTTTTTATATCTACTTTATAACTGTTCTAAATGAAAACCTTCCAACTCCCAACGGAGAGTTTAAATGGTTTGAATCATTTTTTTCTGATTAGTTTCTTTTTAGTAATTTGGTTTTCTATGGGATGGAGTCACTAACTCCATACCCAAACTTTATCCATTATCCGAGTTCGGGACTGGCAGTGGCTTCACAAGTTTTTCAGGCGGAGTTTTTAAAGTTTATTATTGTTTAGTATTATGTTTTATCAATAAAAAAACATAAAATAATCTGTTCAGTGTAAACAAATTATTTTCGTTTTCAATACCATTGCTATTTCCCTAACCATTTTGTTATTGTCCTCATTCATTATCGTCATTACAATGACTATTACAAACGTTTTTCCTATTTTTATCAGAAATTCACTTGTTTTCATTTGATGTTGTTATGAATAAGTCAGTCTGATATAACGGATAAACAAAAAAGTAATTTGTTATTAGTTGATATCAATTCATTTATGATCGATTGCATCCGAATAAATTCAGTTTTATTTTTGAGTAATTCGAATTGTTGACATCTTCATTTGAATGTTTATTTGAATAACCAGTAGTAGTCAAGCTACAAGATAACATATATATGTATGACATAGAAAATAAAAACAATATCTTGTTTGTACCGTCTTAGAAGACGAATCATAACAACACATATTCAGTGACGAGAAGTTTGACCATGCATAGTGTTCTCTATTAAACGAATTTTTCACAAAATCATCGCTGAGATTAGTTAGAATCGATTCTTTTCTTATTTTATTTGTTGTATAGATATTTAAACGAAACCACTGGATCTTCTAATAGGATTAAAAATGATTTGAGTAAGTTTACTTGTATATTATTTTATGCTGAGTATTATGTTTGTGAAATCGATCATTGAAAAAGTAGGTAAGTTGCATCAGGCTCGTATTTTTATTCTTATTATTCCGAAAATAGACAATTATGCTAGTTAACTATCAGTGGAAAAGTTCAATTCAGGGATAAAATCGTCAAAATCAGCTGTTCATTCAGATATAATGTCAAAGTGATGACAGAGTATTATAAAATAAAGGAATAATAGCAACGAGTTGTTCCTTAGCTCTTCACAGTAACAGTAATATTTTTCTTGTGCAGTTCAATCGTAATTTGAGTTTTACGACTTAGTAATCTCTGTACAAAAAATGATTGCTATTAAAATATGAAATTACGCCTTTCTATTAATTGTTGTGGTGTTTCGTTCTCTGAGCTGGATGTTTCGGTTGTGTAGCTTTCGTTGTTCTTCTGAACAACATCATCAGCACAAACTTCAGATGGAAGTGAAGTATTCAAATTTCTCCACGTTTGACCTGTAGCTTGTTCTGTTGACCTTGATCTTGATAGGTTGCTGTTGACCTTGAATTTGTTGTTGCTTTCATCTTTGGTTTGATTGTATCCTACTTTTGATGTGTTTCTTGATCCTATGTCGCCTATGATTTTTCTGATTTAATTAATTAATGTAATATTACATTCATTGATTCGATGATTATTTTTCCGCTTGAATATTTCAGCACAACCTATGGTTACAGAAAAGCGACACTGTGACATAAAAAGCGATCAATGCATACAAAGTACAGAAGAGAGATGTTTACCAATTGCAGAGTTAAATGATAAAGACGGCATAGGAGATAATTATCAAGAGATTAGTTTAACTATGGATATGGATCCTGAAGTAGAGAAAATTGCTCGAAACGGTGATGATTCAGTAAATAGCCAGATTGATATGACTCATTCTAAGGAAGTGGTACACAATAAATCAGCTCAGAGATTTTCCAATGATCAAGTTAAAGGAACTGTTAAATGTTTTTCAGCATTTTGGTCAGATAAATCAAATAATAGAGATTCATTATTTTCTAATAAATCTTGTATTTCTGAAAATAATTCAATGAAGTCTTCACGACGATCTGTTAACGAAACTCTTCCTGGAAATTTATTTCGTCCAAAAAGTTTAGATTATAGTCCATTCGGAGACGACGGAATGAAATCGAATTCCGATATTAGTCAAGTAAGCAGTCTACTAATTTTAAAATTAAAAATCACTCTTAAATTCTTTACAATTTTAAGAGTTTAATCGATTACTGATCATACATTGTCTTCACATATTGTAGTATACTTCAATCTTAATTTTACATGAACTTTTTAATTTTAGAAAAAAGCATTAGAGAAATATTAAACTTTCCAGTTTTGATAACAAATATTTTATAACAATATAAGATTTAAATAAAAAAAAAAAATACATGGTTATTTGTTTATAGTCCTACTGTAATGTACTTAAGTGACAACAAACAGACAACCAGTTTGAATTATTTAATATTTCTGACTTGTGTTTTGTGCTTCGCTTCATGCACTTTAAAATTTTGAGAATCATTACTTCTGTTTTTCTAAATGGTTTCAATAGTTTTTTTTCTGGTTAGTGTTCTATTTCTTAATGTATTAATTAATCTATTTTAAGAAATTTTTGTTTGCTTACCATGTCTAGTTAACGATATTATTAAATTAAGAGTCTGATATGATCTGTAGATCTCTAGAAATTTCAAACATGATAATGTCTGGAACTCAGTTTACCTATGTCAAGTATATGATCGATAGTCAGTGACACGTAGTAACTGAAAGAGTTGGATCAGTCCTACTGTGCTGGCTGTATGAGTAGTGTTCAGACAAAAGCATAAAACATAGCTAGTGATTCTCTGTAAGATATAATACTTAAAGATGGACTACGTAAAAGTTTTCGGAATCAGCCTTACAGTACTGTTTAGTTCAGTGCAGTGAAGCATTTCAAGTTGCATAAGACTTCATTAAAATACTTCAGGATAATTAAACAGTTCATTAGATGATTATGAATTTGAGTCACATCGGGAGTTATACCACAGTTACAATTCTTCGAAAATTCAGTCATCTAGTAGAGGGTATAGTAGCTTATTACAATGAATGTGTATTCACTGTGGATCTTCTGATTCTTTTGCATTCTATTACTTCATATCGATTCGCCTAATCAATATTCATATTTATTGTTGTTTTTCCAGAACTTTTATCCATTAAACTTTTAACAAATGTTAACTATTCCTTAATTACCAATTAAACTATATTACGCATTGAAATCATCAATCAATCATTGTTACACCACCATTAGAAGCCTGGAAGCGCTGGATGGCCGTTTTGTCCTGGTATGGGACTCATCAGCAGTGCGCATTCACAACCCCCACTACTCACAGGATTCAAACCCAGGACCTACAGTCTTGCGCACGAACGCCTAACCTCTGGACCACTGGGTCCGGGTTTGAATACTGCGAGGTGCAGGAGTCGTGGATGCGCACTGCTGATGAGTCCCATACCAGGACGAAACGGCCGTCCAGTGCTTCCAGGTTTCTAATGGTGGTCTAACAATGGTTGTTTGATGATTTCAATATGCAACAGACACTTATTTCCATAACTCTAGTTGAATAAACTATATTAATTGCATTTATGGTACCATAATTCTGTATTGTTAATTAAAAATTTATGTACTCCAATTTGAAACAGCCAGTAAATCACTTTGAAATAATTTAAACTTTGTAGAATATCACATTGGTTAATCTAATAGTAATAGTGATATTATTTACTGTATGGATTAGTAACTTATTTGT